AGTTGTTTTCGGTCATTTTTATCGATGATTTTTGATAGATATATTAAACACGGCTCGAGATTATAAACTCAAGACTCGTACAAAGATACTGACTCTGAAATAAACCCGAGATGAGGGAATTGAGTCGGTAAGTGGAGTCGGAGGAATAGAGTTAATTGCTCCAGTAGCCTTTGTAAGCGCAAGAGCCTTTAGGATTTTTTTTTAATATATAAATAGTCCAATTCTTGCTTTGTTGAGACACCTTTTTGTCTCATTCTCATACTTCCACCGGCTTCATCAATCATGTGATTAAGTTTTTTTTTTTTTTTTAATAGAGCCAAATACGGTGCATACAAGGGATCTGTCCATTTTGAACATAATCGTATCCCCACGTTGTCGTTGTTGATGTTCAAACCTTGGTCCCTTCTCCCAAATACTGCTTACTAAACCAGTGAGCTAAGCCTGTACGGGTATAAATTAAAGTGTGAGTAGACCTAACAATATATTTGGTTTGCAAAATAACAATCTTGTTCCGAATTCATTCTCTCTTGTATTAGATTGAAATCTTTAGTATTTGTCCATTTGAAACTTGAAAGAGTTGTGACTTGTGAGTGAACTAATTAATACTTCGTTACGCATTTAGTTCACATAACAACTCGCGTTTTCATTTCATATTCATTTTTATTTTCAAACTTAGCTGAGATTTTAACTAAAGTGTGAAATTCACTGGAAAGGCTCATGAATAGATATTGGTGGGGTAAGAGTAATGTGGTAGATGGCATTCACTGGATGGCCTGGGACAAGATGTGTGTACCCAAGAAGTATAGAGACATGGGTTTTAAAAGGCTGCATGAGTTTAATTTGACTCTTCTAGGGAAGCAAGGGTGGAGATTGTTGACTTGCCCGGACTCTTTAGTGGCGAGGATCTTTAAAGCAATGTATTTTCCTACCACTACTTTTTATGAGGCCACGCTTGGTGGTAATCCAAGTTATGTGTGGAGAAGCATAATGGCCAGCCAGGACCTTGTTCGAAGTGGCTGTAGGCGGAGGGTTGGCAATGGAAGAATGACTAAAGTCTGGGACCACCCCTGGTTGCCTGACTCCCATGACCCGTTTGTTCACTCAGATCAGCCTACGCAACATCCTGATTTGATGGTGGCAGACTTGATAGATTATGATCAGGGGAGTTGGAAACAAGATCTAATTTTGCAATTATTTATTCCCAGGGATGCTGGCTTGATTTTACAAACCCCGGTATGTGTGGATTTTAAGGATGATTGGTACTGGTCGGGTGATATTAGGGGAATATATACGGTTAAAAATGGTTATAGGCAACTTGGAGAGATTAATGCCCCATGTGATGCTATATGGAACAACATTTGGAAACTACGGGTTCCCCCAAAATGGAAGATTTTTCTTTGGAGAGCTATTACTAATATTTTTCCAACAATTACTAATTTGGTTAGAAGAAGAGTGGAGATCCAGAATGTGTGCCCTGCTTGTGGGATGTTTGAAGAAAATGTTATGCACATTTTATGCAATTGTGTTTATGCTAGACATGTGTGGAATATTTCACAACTCCATATCCCTAACTTTGGTGATCATGATTTTATGCAGTGGGTGGAGCTTTGGCTAGGGAACTCAGCAATATCTGCTGGTTTTCTAAAAGAACAAGTATGTGGAATACTCTACGAAATATGGAAGGCCCGGAACATGGCGGTATGGGACCTTGCTTTGCCTACCCCGACGCAGCTATGTGCTTCTTTTCATCGTGCCTGGGCCGTTTGGAGCAGTTCCAAAGGCCACGGCAGTGTCACGCCGGGACCAAGCAGTGTGGCTGCTTTGCCGCAACCGGCGCATGGAGTACTGCATTCCGTACCGCTCCAAGCTGCCGCATCCCTCCCCCAAGACGCTGTGTTATGTAGTACGGACGCGGGGTTTTATGGACCCCAACACGCCCCAACTTTCGGTTTCTACGTACGCAACCCGGAAGGTGTTTTTATAGCAACGGTAAATGGTCCTCTCTCTTGTCCATATGATCCTCTTCTAGCTGAAGCGATGGCAATACGTGAGGCTCTCTCATGGCTTCAGGACCACAATTATCACAATATTGTTATCTTGACAGACTGTGCAGTTCTCGTGGATAGCTTTCGGGACATCAGTTCTTATCGTTCGTATCTTGGCATTATTTTAGATTCATGTTTACGTTTGTTTAATTCGTTCCCAGTTCATTCAATTCAGTTTGTACGCAGAGGCACCAATCTGGTGGCTCATGCCTTAGCTAAACATGTAAGGGCGGTTCATGAACGTTCAGTCTGGACCGAGTCCCTCCCATCTTTTATTCCTTTGGAGTTAAGTTAATGCAATATATGAAGTTTTTAGTGTTCAAAAAAAAAAAAAACTAAGGTGTGGAATTAATTTTTTTTTTTTTTCACTTGTGATAGGAATGTCATCAAGTCCCTTCTTATTATGATATGCAAAGATTGAAAGATGTATATATTATTGTTATTCAAAGAATAAAAAAAAATATTGAATATTGAACAAAAAAACAAATTAAAACTATATATATATATATATAATTTACACAAAGATTACAAAGTGTACATATATGCATGCAGCATATCTGCATATAAAATAACCAAATTAATTAATTAATTACTATTATTATTAAATCAACAATTTCAATGAAATAAAAGTAAATTAAAAAAAAAAATCGAAGAATAATATCAACGAGCTTCATTCAATTCCTTCTTATCAACCGCGCGCCACGCCGAATGACGGAACCATGAGACCACGAGGGTGAGCCGGAAAAGCGGCGGCGCCGGCGAAGTGCATTTCTTTGAGAGGACAGCCGCCGGAGCCGCCACTTCCGCCGCCGGGGATTTGGGTGCAGCCGGAAGGTCCGGAAGAAGGAACATCACCTTTCTGCAGCGACTCAAGAAGAACCGCTACTTCTTCTTCTCCTCCATGCAACATCCTTCCAGCTTTTCCCTGCTGGAAATGAAGAAGAAGAAGCACTGTGATGAGTAGTATGAAAGCTACGCTAAAACACTTCATTTTTTTTTTTTTGGGCCTGCAGATTGATGGGTATATATCAAGCTAGCTAGAGATGAAGAAGATTTGAAAATGGTGAAGATTTGGTGTGAGGATATGTGCATATTTATAGGGGGATTCTGAGGTTATCCAAATGAAAGGGGTTGAATGTTTTTGACTATTGGGTTCATCTTTAATTTGAGTGGGTTTTGAACTTCAATCCACGAGTCTCCATGGAATTTCTCCCCAAGTTCCTAACTATATGTGAGCATGTACGTAGTGTAGAGAGAGAGAGAGAGAGAGAGAGAGTTTATACATGGAAGAAAAGTTAGGTCCGCATTTTACCTTCTTTATACTATTTTAATTTAAGGAAAAGTCAAAACGGCTAAACATAGACCAGGTTACCAATTCAAACTAAGAAGATCAACGGATCAATTTTCTTCCGGTTCAAACCAAGATGGTATAATCAGTCTAGGTTGTCCATAGTTGATCAGTTCAACACAAAAATGTCAATAGAGTTAGTTGTTCTTTCAACCAAAAAGGCTAATAGGCAACATTCACATGCGTCAAATTCAAAACTTTTAAGGTTAGCAAGTTAATTGTCCAACCAATTTGACTGAAGTTGTTCATATTCTTTGTACTAGTATATTCAATGAAAGAACTCTTAGGATGCATTAATTGCTAGAAAACAAAAAAAAAAAAAAAAATGTGTTTAGTCATACATTTTTTTTTTTTCATTTTAAAAAATATATAGTTCATGTTTGGTAACATATTTAGTTTATTAGTTCATTTTGACTAGTTTGACCACAATTAGTTGTTTAACTTGGTTAAACAACTAATATGAGTGTAGTGATTAATTAGTTTTTTGTAACGACTTATTGCTCCAAAACGTTAAAATTTAAAAAGCTGCTCAGCTTTTTGTAAAATTCATTTTACATGTAATAAGTTATTAGTTAACAACTAATTTACCAAACATATTTTTACAATCAACTAATATTATAATTAGTTAAACTCACTAACCCCAATCAGCTAATTAACAGCTATTTACAAAACACTCACATATTCAATGAAAAATTCAAGAAGTGAGATAAATGCAGGATCAACCTTTTTGCATTTCACATCAAAAACTCATTGAAAATGGAAATTCCAAAAAGAATAGGATAGGATGGAGTTAGGCTCATCATCTTGAATATTGAGGCAGCTGCGCTATTGAAATTAAAGTTGATTTGCCACATGGATTTGAAATGGGGATGAGAGACGTAATACCATGAAGCATCGCAAAAGCCCTATGAACTTTCCCTATCAGATTCCTCGTACCAAACAGCAAAACGACAAGGGAATCTTATGTCAAACACTACCTTAATATAAGTACATTGAAACATCGGAATTTTCGAACATAATAAGACAAGAAATCCTAGGGTTTTGACTGCAGTCCCATCCTTGTAAGATCAAACATGAGTTAATGGAGTTGTACTACATGCACTCCCAAATTATACTCCCTAAGGTGACAAATTAGGATTGGTTATTTTTATCATGTGGGTTCACAGAAAAATGTCTATATCAAAAATATGCGAGAGGGAGTACAAATTGAAAGTATAAAATGGAAATACACCAAATACTTTCTAAGTTAATATAAGTAATAATAGTACATGTACTCTCATATTTTACATTACTTTCTTCTCATCTTTCATTTTCCTCCAATAAAATTAAGACACGTGCCTAGAGTTTTACTCCCTTGGAGTACATATATCATTTTTTAGTTAATATTAAGAGAAACATCAATCAAGCTATCAAACAATTAACATTTTATTTCTTTCAAATGGATATGGTGATATGGTGTAAGGCATGTCATTACTTACTATTAATTAAAAAATAAATTTAAGCGTAAAATGGCTTATAAGATCACAAAAGTGAGATTTACCAAATTCCCACCCTCGAATAGTGACTCACTTTCCCTCATCCATCAAAAAAAAAAGGTGGGGTTAATGTTTGTCCAGTCTTATAAGTAAATTAAGCACTGAGAATATAAGAGTAACTAAGCACAAACTTCTTGATCATCAAACCCCCCTAAACTGGGCTGATAGCAAAGATATATTGAAAAATGATCATTAAAAAGAAAATAAAGATCTAAAGATCTAGACCTCACTCTTTACAAAATGTCACTCCAAATCTAAGGCTGAAGCTTTGCTCAAGTAAATATTACAACTGACATCAGCCAATTTTTGCGGGGAAGCTTCGTTCCAGCCATCTTTCACAGCCCGTTTGAAGGCCGGAACATTGCATAAGCGTTGACACCACGAGCGACATTTGAGTATTCGGGAACATGATACGGGTAGCCAGCATCACTATCGATGTTCCTCATTCCAAGGTACGAGGGGTCGGGACCAACTACTTGCCAGTTGTTGGGAAAACGCCCGTCCATTTGACCGTTGGCAAAACTTGGTGGGCTAGGCTGTGGGATCACGTCCCTGACAGCATCGTAAAGGCCTACAGAGTAGCTGTGCTGGTACCCGTTATCATGATAGCTTTGTGCCCGTTCAAACCTACAAGAGCTCATTGAGGGACCGATGTCAGATAACATACCAGTGTCGCTTGGGAAGGTGAACTGCTGAGTTTGATGGTTAGAACAGTTGCCGAGACTTTGAAATCTTGAATCTTGTTCTGAAGTCATCCCAATTCCAAGCTCGTCGTCCAGTAGATCATTGATGATATCAAGATGTGGGAATTCATCCGCAAATGCACTGTAGGGCTGTCGGCCTGAGAGCTCTGATGCGGATGCAGCTGGAAATTGAGACGTAAGATGATCATGAGATCTGCCGTTAACTGGCATGTACGGATCGGGATTTCCAATGCCTTTCACTAAAGGATGGTCAAGGGACATGCTCCTGCTGCTATCCCGTTTGGGGGAGCACTCATTCCATTGGGATCCATTCTGCAGTACTTCATGATTCACCATTCCATATGAAAAGTTCGGTCTAATTGGACTATGTTCTATTCGTTCTGGCCCCTGTGGTATGTACATCGCCCCTGAAATCAGAGTAGATGGTTGATGGTATGACTGCAAGGCATTCGTCACCGAACTTGGAGAATGAGGTTGAGTAAAACCAGCTGAATTTCCCGTAGCAGGAGAACCCATCATTGCATTTCGGTAGGACTGGGCAGTATAACTCTGTGTCGTAGGTGAAGGATCAGGACCCAACCGACCAGCTGCACTCACTGAACGTGCCAGGTGCGGTGTTGTCTGAACCACGGAGACAACAGGGTTAGTTGGCCTAGGACCGGTGACTATTGGAGCACTCATGGGTCTTGATGTGACAGGCACTAGTTTTGAAGAGGCCTTTTCATTGGCGGAAGGAATTTGACGTGTCAATGGCCTGTCTGCAGCAATAGGAACTTGGAGGGTGGAAGGCTTTCCAATGGCTTTCAAATCAACAGATCTGTGGGCATTAGTCTTTGCAACTGCAACTGCAGCTTCAGTTGATTTCACGGGTTTCGAAGATTTATCAGTCAGTTTGGAGGTCTCGGTTGATGGGCTCTTGGTAGTGGGCTCAGCAGAACCAAAGGTCTTTGACTCTGACTCCAACTGAAATGTAGACGACGTGTCCTTGGGAGGACTCCTAGGAAAACATTGCACGCTTGTCTTATCTGATGAGGGTCCCACCCTATCAGCTACATTGAGCTTCCTTTGCTGTGGAACTGCTACTTCCTATAATACAGCAAGACTGTAGCTCATCAATTTTTGTGATTATTAGAACAGAAATACACTACAAGGAGCCAGCAAAATGAAATTACAGGAATGAGATTCCCATTGAAACTAATAAACCTTTTTTTGATTTTATCATACCACTTCCTTTTGGTATGGTAAGTTCTAACGCCTATACTTCATTCCCAAAAATAATAATATTAATGATACTGGTTGGGAGAAGAAAAAGGCAACCCACCTTCACAACAAGCTGCTCATGTGAAGAAAGAAGAGTAGCTTGAGACTCGGATCCAGCCGTTCTGCAACTTCCAGATGTATCACTCAGTGGGCGCACATCAGAAATAGTGCCTAATATTTGACTCTGTGAATCATTAGCACATTTAGCTGCATTACAAGATGACTTGCCCTGACGGTTCTTCCCTCTGGTAAGTTGAAATACACAAATATTAGATCTATGTTGTTTGCATCAGCAATTAGCCAATGGTTAAAAAGGACATACTTGCTAGGTGATTTCTGTTTCTTATAGTCTGAACGGTTCCCTCTGGAAGGCCCATTCATAACAACTGAGCGGCTTGAGTCTGTGGAGCATGTTGAAGAACTGTCATCGATCACAGAAGGGATTTGACGCCCAACTATTCCATTTTGCTCTGGTGACAGGCCGCTCATTTCCGTAGAAGGATGAACTTCTGATGCGTCAGTATCCCAACTGACAGGGCTCACGTCTCGGTCTTCTGAATCGGGATTAAGTACTTCCGGAACACAATCTACTGAATCCGAGATATCTGAAACCTCTTCCAGTGTATCACGTTTGTCAAGTACACTTTCTGGTTCCTCATTCACGTCCTTTCCTTCACCACCAGTTGGTTCCTCTGAAGTCTTGTCTTGCAATGTGACATCGTGCCTTTCATCCTTCCCCTTATCCTTGGCTTTGCGGTTGTTGCGCTTTTGTTTTCCCTGAAGTACAAGGAATGATAAACTTTTATCCGTGTTTCAGTGATTCAATAAAGTTTTGTTTCAAACAAAACACCTCTCATGGGCTATCGCTGAATCCCAACACATTTATGCTGCTGCTAATAACACAACAGACTACACTATTCTCCCAAAAATGAAGAGCATCAAAATGAAGGTGCATTCAAATAGAAAACCTGTTTTTTCTTTGATTTCTTTTCCTTCATGGATGCTCCACGTTTTGATTTCTGCTCACCTTCTGCCATCCATGCAGCCTCCTCTTCACGGATGAGTTCCTCTTGCCTCTTTAGAGCAACAGCTTCCTGGTATGAAACCTCAATTTTACTGCCAAAAAAAAAAAAAAAAAAAAACAAAGAATCATCACGAAACTTTAAAAGAAAACTTGACGCATCCGGGTGAAACGAAATTTGCTTGACAAGTTTCAGAGCTTAAATTTATTTCCAATTAAGCAAAATGGCTTTCAGAAAGTTCTAATAATGGATTTCCACAATTGAAGAAATAAAACTAACAGAAAGTCTGACCAACAACATCAAACTTTAATCAATAACCATAAGAGAAAATTCAAAAATAAGAAATTTTGCAACCAAAGGTGAAGAACAGAGATGGGAAAGAATTAATAATGGTTTACCTGAAAATTTGTGCCAGGACAAATATTTCAATGGTCCTACGACCCAGTTCAGTAAGGCGTCTTTCATCACGTTCAATGCAATCTTTATTGAAGTCATCTCCAGAAGCACCATCCTGACACCCCCACCGCAGAAAGAAAAAAAAAATTCAATAATTGAAATTTGAAAACAATCATGTCATTCTTCAAAAATCTATAAACATTATAAAATTCCATCCGTCCATCCCCACCGTATATAGATTACATGGTTCATGCAATCCGCACGGCTGCAAGGGAACAGGGCTTTGCATTTGAACCATATATATATATCACGCCATACCTCCATTCCCACGCAATATAGATTGCAGGGATCACAAAGGATACAATTCAACACAAACTAAATATATAACATGTGATGTTCAACTGTGTTTATGGTATATGGATGGAAACTTTTCTGCCTGAAATAACATTATATGTCAGCTGTAAAATTATGGAGTAGCATTTTCTGAATATCACTACAAAAATATAATAATGTACAGAAAGAAACCAGAAGCAATGTACAGAAAAGAATGCTTGAGGCTTTTTGATAGACATGCAGCATCTTGCCAGACGATGAGTTAATAGATTACAAAGCACCTTCATATTGACTATTTTTTTCAAATTCAAATATAACAAGCTTTCAACTAAGATACTCATCTGAGGCAGCAAAAAACAAAGCTCAAGACAAACACTTAAATGGATCTCATTTGCACAAAACATAACAGTATTCAATCATCTCAGTGTACAATGTACCTTTATACGATTCTGAGGACCTTTCTCATCCTTTGGAGGCAGCTGCTCCAAGGCAGCCCTCTCGAGCAATAGAAGCACATCCTCCACCAAAACAAACATGTCTTTCTCCATCCGAATTATAGGAACAGATTGCTCCTCTACATCTAAATGTTTACCATTACCTTTCTTGGCCTTATACTGACCTTCTAGAGACTTGAGTCCACTGTATAAAGAATCCATGACCAAAGTAGATGTTACTTCTTTTTCTACGAAGAAGTGCTTAACAATAACTTTCAATATTGCATCTGATTTTTCCTTGGACATCCGGCGCCTGGAATTTTGGTCCATCCCCAGCCAGAAAGCACAGAAGCTAAAATAAAATAGGAAGAGAAACTCATTGAACTTCGCAAAATGGCTTAGCCTAAGTTTAATAAAGCTAATATAATTCCAAGGCCAAAGAAGCTACGGTACTATGGACATCAAAAGTGTCAAGAAGTAATCTTCCATTGGAAAAGTACACAAACAGATAAAACAACAATAATACTAATAATATAAACAACAATAATAGTAAGTAGTAACCATACTAGTTTTGTAATAGTAATAATAAAACAAAAAAAGTATTAATAATTAAAGAGAAAGAACCTCTACCTTGACCACCTGGCTTTATCCTCTATCAATTTCCCAAGCTTGCCTCGCCGTTCTTCAACAAAACGTCGGCAGATTTGTTCAACATTTGTTAAATATACACTAACAAGCTCTCGGCGATATTGATAGTCAAGGCACCGAAAGGGACGATCGGCTCTCTCCCTGAAAATAGCAGTTAAGATTCAGTTAATGCGCATGGTCATATATCTTATAGGTTATAATATCACTTTATATACTTAAAAAGCTATCCATATGTGATATATTGCTAGTGAGCACCTCAAGACATGACTACAAGTTATGCAACATGAAACACTATCAAAGAAAAAATATAAATTCCTTTTGGGACATTTTAATGGAGCTCTCATTAGTCTAAATGTGCTACTTTGGATCCAACTATACATTCTCTAGTGGGAAAAATAGTGATCCACACATGCGCAGGGTTGAGGTTAAATTTAAACAGGCCCTGAAGTAGTACACAAGGTTAAATGAAACTGAGAAGAAAAACTTAATAACAGATACTAAAAACTAGGCAACTTGTTTACCAATTATTATTGCCAGAAATCAAATTTTCTAATTTAAAACTATACCCTAAATAACAAGAATGATTGGCAACATTACAAAGACAATGTCAACATTTGTCTGCAGAAATAGAATGCACCCTTATACTCAAAGAACAGTGGGGTGATAAGAAAATTTTAAGGCTTAAAGACCTGATAACTTGGACTTGAGCCTTAATTATCAGTGTATCAGCATCAATAAACCCATCCAACACTTTTGATAGTTCCATAAATTTTTTCCAGCCCCAATCATGCTCTTTCTTCCAGAAACGATGCAAAGTATCTGCAGATATTCACAAGGGAATTTTAAAACTAAAGATCAATAGAGCCATAAGAAAGTGATCAAGGAACTGTTCAAACTCACTAACCTGAATATTTGGACTTCTTCGGGTCTTTATTAACTACGGCTATTGTGAACTGTGCAAAATGACTCCACCCTGCATTTATCAATTTGGAGAAAAGATCATAAAAACCAAATAACAGACAACATTTATGAATAAAGGCAGATCAATATGAATTAACAATATAGTCAACCTGGAAGAAGCTTGTCATGATTAGCCACACAAAGAAAAAGAGAGAGATGATTGCAGACATCACAGCCCTGGGGATAAATCAAAATATACCTGCCACCACGAGTTGATTCAGAAAATGAATATGAAATGATCATTTAACTTAGGGACTCCTACCACATTAACGAAATAACATCTCAAACACAAACTTGTACTTTACCAGTCTGAAAATTTTCTGCTCAAGTGCTAAACTTTCAGCACATTGAAATTGCACCAGTGAAAAGAAACAAAACAACAAATATGTGAGATATAAAACAAAACATCTGATCATTCAAGCGGAAACAATACTATGCAGCCAAAATTTGGCACTATTAAAGATATAATCTGATAATCTGATACAACATTTACAAACTGAAAGAAGATCCCATCAGAAATTATACCACTATGGGATGCATGATGTTCCAGATCAAGACATGATAATGGCAAACATAAACATCTAGAAAAATATAGAACAAGAGTAACTTTATACAACCAGTAGAGATAACAGCTCCACGAATAAGCACTATGATTGCGCAACAATTAAAGACACATGCTTAACAGTGCTTTTGTTAAAAAATATCATACCATTTGTAGCCGCCAACCTCAAATGCATTACTCCGAAGTTCTCTCTTGTTAATTTGTGAAAATTTATCAATCTTCCATGTATACTTTCCAAACAGCTCAGAAGGTTTAGGTCCTACATGTCAGTAAATAAGAGGATGATGTATTTGAAGATTAACCGATCCCTCACCAAATAAAGAATAGATGATAGAAGTATAGAATCAGCACACAAGGATGAGGGAGAACACGAAACCAATACACTGCCCCCAAAAGTCCAGTAAGCATTCATTGGCATTTATCAGATGATAATACCCAGAACCCATACCACTCTGGAGAAGACAGACTAGTTAACACTTAGAAAACAAATCTCAAAACAGCAATGAGATTAGATCCTAATGAGCAGTATCTGGTGAACTTGATCAAAATCTTAGAGATGATTGAGTACTATTGCGATTGAGTACTATTGCCAATTCAATACAGTAGGTTTGCATGATGAATGGATATTTAACAGAAAACATATAATATTTTCCAGGATTAAAAATTTCAAAACATATAATATTAGCAGATAACTCTTTTGTAAATTAAAATCTTGAGTGTATGAGATAAACAGTGGAATGTCAAATCAGAATCTTCCAATGCAATAATAATAATTCAATAAATATGAACATGGCTAATTGAGACAAGATACAAGTACTACCACCTTCATCGTCACCGTCACTGTCCCAGAAAAGAGGTGATGTTGATGGAATTCCATTTTCAACTTGTTCAGAAGACCTCCACTCAGCCAGTGCTTCACCAAACTGGCACCGCTGCTGCTCACTTGACACTCCCTCCAATGATCTTCCCACTCCAGCCTCCTCCGAATCAATTGTAGCCATTTCCCTCTCCACAACTCCCACACAGTTTCACCAACTACACCTGTTTCGCCACAAAGTTATCAGACCCCATTAGAAATTGAGAAACATAGGTCCGCTTAAAATCTAAGTGCAGTAAATCCATACCTAAAAGGTGGAGCAGACACAACTCTCTGAGCTCCATAGTAAACATATCCAAATTTCTGTACATGTGCCTATTTAAACTTATTATTATAGTCAACTAAGTCCTAGTTGGGGTGAGAAAAAACTATTCATTATGAAGTCCAAAGACACTCCTACCACATTTTACAATTCTATTCGTAGATTCAAAACTCAAACTATAAATTTATCATCAAAGTCCAGTGATTCCCAATAAACCCTTAGAAAATTTGCCTTAAACACTAAACAGAAAGTACATACATATATACATGTCTACCGAGTGATAGAATCAAACTCCACAGTTCATCAAATTAAATAAATTAAAAAGTTCATCAATTGAATCCTGAATCAGGTAAAAAAAAACCCATAAATTGAATTAAACTTAGGTAACAGGGTGTGAATTCAAAATCCCAAATTCCAACAAAAACATTAGAAACTAGGAATTGCCAGAAATACCCACATCCAAAAGGCAAAACCTAAAGCAGAAAGAAAAAGAAAAAGAAAAATCACGAGTGGATGCAAAGATAATCAGATCAGGTAAAAGCGCGCGGACCTTAAGCAAAAAGGGAGCTTTGTCAATGGTGAACGGATGAAGAGGAAGCTGTAGTGAGAAAGAAAAAATAGAGAGATTTGAGAGGCCAAAGAAGGAGACGAAGAGCAAAGGCGGAAATAAAAATATATAAATTAATTTCAATCCATTTTACTATTTATATATATATATATATATATATATATATATATATATATATATATATATATATATATATATATATATATATATATATGTGTGTGTGTGTGTATATCGCCCCTGCGTGTGTGTGTGTGTGGAAGGAAGGTCTAGTAACGTGTAGGTTACCATAATTATTTTATAGGTTTTATGGATTACATCTTTTTCACTATGCAAAATTTATTCAATTAAAATTTGAGTTAATACCCAAAATCGTCCTCGACTATAGTGATTTTTCTCAATTTCGTCCTAAACGACTTTGGTGACCTAATATCGTCTCAGACTTTTGTGTTTCGCTCAATTTAGTCCTCTATTTGTTATTCCGTCAAATTGGTGTTAAATAAAGGGACAATTCAATAATGTCAATATTGATCTCTCTTTACTTTCAACTTATGAAGTGCGAAATTCCTCTTTCTTGTACGAATTACACCCAGAATTACTCCCGGACCTGCAAATCAAATTTTATATTTGCAGTTTTAGGAGTAATTCTGGGAGTAATTCGTAAAAAAAAAAAAGGGATTTCGCAGTTCACATGTCTATGAGTCAAGAGATGTCAATATTAAAATTACTGAATTGTCTATTTATTTAACACCAAATAGACAGAATAACAAATGAGGGACTAAATTGAGCAAAAACACAAAAGTCTGAGACTAAATTGAGCGAAACACAAAAGTCTGGGACGATATTAGGTCACCAAAGTCATTTAGGACGAAATTGAGAAAAATCACTATAGTCGAGGACGATTTTGGGTATTAACTCATTAAAATTTATATTGTGTGTCAATTAGAGACTTAAGTAAAGAAAGAAGAGGGTTAGATGTGTGAATTAGGTCGAAGATGAAGGTTTAAAGGTTGGAGTGTAAAGTTTGGAATTTTGTCGGTCAAAATATAAGAAGATATAAAGTATAAAATTTTAAAATTCAAAAATTGAAAATGGGGCAAATGAAGGGATCAAAAGAAAGAATAGATGAATGTTGACTCTCCTTCCATTGAAGTTTACTGGTCTATTTGGATATTCAGAGAGACACGAAAATGAGAATCATAGTCTCTCTTGAAACATTTATCTACTCTCAGCTTGTTATCATGGTTATTGATGGGTGATGTCAACGATTTGTGGAGTGCGAATGAAAAGCGAGGATGTTACCCCCACCCTCAATGGCTGTGTAATGACTACAATGAAGCTATTGAGGGGAGTGGCTTAAGAAACTTAGAATTCAACAGTGACCGAGTTATTTGGGAGATAAACAAAGGTTTAGTGAACTAGGTTAGGGATAAGCTCAATTGGGTCCTCAACTCAGATTAATGGGCTTATTTATTTGGTGAAGCTAATGCCACCTCATTTGAAGCCCCCGTAGAGTGACCACCTGCCACTAGCAGTTTGGCAATATCCATCGCGAAGAACCATAACTATGAAGAAGTTCAAGTTTGAGAACATTTGGCTATATGAAAGCCAATTCATAAAAATATTGTGCAAAACATAAGATTTTTATGATTGTATTACCTTTAATTAACATATTGGAGGTGTGCACCCGTTAAACTATGGAACTAGGGTAGGTATATCACTCAGGAACTTTCAACCCCAAATTAATGATTAAATGTCCCATATGAAGTCAAAGGGCCAAGCTTTTCTGGTCAAAGGAAGTAACATCAACTCCGGATTTTTCCATAATGCAGTTCGCAAAATGAAGAGAAATAACCAGGTAGACAAACTCAATAACTCTGTCGGTGGTTGGGTGTATAAAGGGCAAATAACTCTCATAATTAAGTATTGTCTATTTCATAAATCTCTTATCTTCATCACTTGGCAACACGGGCATTGTTATTGATTGTTTTACCCCTAGTGTAACAAATCACCAAAACATAAAATCTGACCAAAGTTATTACATTGGGAGAGCCCAAAGTAGCAATATTCAGCATGCATTCAGGCAAAGCCCTCAAGCCAAGTGGGTTTAATTAATCCAGCTTTTTATCAATATTTCTAAGATATTATAGGATTTGAGATTGTTAATTTGTGCAATATGTTTCTATCTTAATGTAAGTTGCCCATATATTATAGGATTTGAGATTGTTAATTTGTGCAATATGTTTCTATCTTAATGTAAGTTGCCCCTTGGGTTGAATGTCACTAATATTGTCTTAATTCTGTAAAGGCTAAATCAGAAATTATGGAGAATTTGAAACACATTGCACTTTGTAATGTTATTTACAAAATCTTATTGGATGGCCTTATCTATGAGTACCAAATTGCATTTGTCCTAGGAAGAGCCATTTATGATAATGTCCTAGTTGGTTTTGAGGTTCACCATTTCCAAAGTAAAGAGTCAAGGTAAAGATGGTTATGTGGCTTGTAAGGTGAACATGAGCAAGGTTTATGATTGAGTGGATGGGATGTTTTTAAAGGGAATTATGCTTGAATTGGGTTTCAGCCCTCACTAGGCGAATTTGATTATGGAGTGCATCACCACAATGGATTACTTTATTCTAGAATATGGAGTTGAAGTTAAACACATTACACCTCAGAGGGGTCTACGTCAAAGAAACCCTTTATTACCATATCTCTTCATTTTGGTGGTTGAAGATCTTAGTATATAAATCACCAAGGCAATGAGTAAGAGAAGTCTCCATGGTGTGGTTGTTTGCTATAAATGCTCCAAAGGTACCCATTTATTATTTGTATATACGATAGTTTTTCTTTCTTTCTTTCTCTAGGAAGCTCTTGTTTTTAAGGCTATCATGAATTATTATTCTAATGTTTATGGGCAACAGGTCAACTTGGAAATGTCCAAGTTAACTTTCAGCCCAAATGCCCTAAACGATTTAAGAAGCTTGATGGGCAGTATAATCGAAATCAATATGGACAACTCTCATTGCTTATCGATCATTGTGTGATTCATTTATTGTTACAATCTGATCTTGTCATATTCAACTCATGTTCATACTCTATATGCTTAATTGTTGATCTAGCTTAAGTATATTCAAGTGATAGTGCAACTTGTGCTTAACTTCTCGTTACTCAACTTCCATATTGCCCTTTATAGAGCCAATTGTGGGATTTTATCTACAACAGTTCACCAAAACGAAAATATCAATCTCCGGACTCAATCAAAGAGTGTTGGTAAGAATTAGACTCATGACTTTATAATATGAAAATCATGCTTCAGCCACTTGACTACTCATTACGAAGACGAGGTGACACTGAAAACTTTATTATTTTTGTTTTTTCAATGACTAGGAAACTCACAACCACTATCCGATAGTGTGCACGGGGTAAACCTGGCATTGTAACTCTAGTTGGCAAATGACCGCAAGGAGATAAATCATACTAGATTGTTCATAACCGATCGACTTAAATTAAGAAAGCAAAAATACACCATTTTGCTACCAGTGAATAATTTATTTGAGAGTTAATTACCAATTTGGTACATCGACTATGAGGATTTCACCAATTTGATAATCGACTACCAAAATTTCTCAATTTGGTCTTCGACTATGCCATTTTTTACACAATTTGGTCCTTAGTGTAATTTGCCGGTCAAACTAAAAGGGCAAATTGGAGATTTTAAGAAAGCATCTTCTTCCCTAACTCTAACCCGTTTGTTTTATATAGCTAGGTTATCAGCCGAGAATGCAGTTGACTAGAAGCTTCATAGTGTAAATCGTGACCGGCAAATTACACTATAACACTAAGGACTAAATCGTGTAAAAATGGCATAATCGGAGATCAAATTGAGAAATTTTGGTAATCGAGGATCAAATTGGTGAAATCCTGATAGTCGAGGGACAAAATAGGTAATTAACTCATTTATTTGATGAAATAGTTGGAGATTTATTTGACATTAATCACAGTAAAAATTTATATTTTTTTAAAACTATTTAAAGAGTTAATTTCATTGTTGGTCATAAATTTATATGTGGCAGTCCATTTGTAGTTCTTTTTTATTAGAACATCATTTTGGGTCATAATATTATTGTGATATGATCAATCTTGGTCATCTATCAATAAAATCATTGGAATTTTGTTAAATACAAGGGCATTTCTCTCTTCAATTATGATTTTTTTTTTAAAATAAGCATAAAATATATAACGGATCAACACACTTTGTATAAAAAAAGATCAATATCTCATTTAATTTAACAAAATTTCAACGATTTTGTTGATAGATGACCAAAATTAATTATGTCATTATAACATTAGAATCAAAATGAATATTCTGATAAAAAAAATTAAAAGTAAACTATCACCTATAAATTGAAAATAAATGAAATCATATTTAGACGTTTCACAACTTGTTGGAAATGGTCAAATTGACATTTTAATTTTAATTTAAAAAAAAAAAGCCCAAATGAAACGGAAAACAAACCCTAATACTGTGCTCAAAATCTTCCCTCGGCCTTCGCTAACGCCTACAGCTTATAAATCTTGCTGAAATAGTGGTATTGGCTCCAAAGTTCTGTAGATGATGGCTGCACTTTCCTCAAGATTCTAAAGAAGAAGCTATGAAGCTTTTCCTTATATGGAGGTATCAAATCTTACCAATATACATGCTTATATACATCAATATTGTGTACTTCTTGCAGAATTGACTTGATTTTTGGCGTTTCTCAATTGATCGATCCGATTTTGGGTCTCTCAGTTTATGGAATTGATTTATGTTTCTTTATTCAAATTTTCAAGCTCTATTTGGGAGTTATTATTTTTCATTTTTAAATTTTAGATTTGGGGATAATTGTGCTGTGGATTCTAAACAGCTACACACTTTCACGGAGTGTTTGGTTGGAGGGAGGGAATTACGTGAGAAAGAAATTGCAATTTTATGTTAGATGAATTATTGGGAATAAATTGAAAATTTAAATTCCAGTGTTTACCCGAACAGAATTACTAAAAATTTCAATTTCAATGTTTGGTATACATCGTATAAAGTCTAAAATGCATGGATAATTTTGTCTCATGATTATCTTTTTTTCTTTCTAAAATCCATGGAAGGGGACATGGGGTTTTTATTTCATGTCTCCATGAGAGAATTGCTTCATTTCAACTAAACTAAGAAATTTAGTGGCCTTTGAAATTAGGTGGGAAATAAGTGGGAATTGAATTTAAATTCCCTTCAACCAAACGCCCTGTAAGAGTCTGTTTACTTTAGAAAACTATTCTCTATTCTCTATTTTCTATATATATATATATATATATATATATATATATATATATATATATATATATATATATATATATATATATATATATAAAATCAGGTGAGATTTATACTACAGGTGAGAACTTGCGGACAAATCCAAACCATTGATTTGATCTAACGGTTAAAAATAAATAAAATTTTGTAATATTTATTAAAATGACTCAGCTCATTTTAAAATTTATTTATAATATTTATGAAAATGACTACTTATTTTTTACTTGATTTTCCATTTTTTACTTGATTTCTCATCCATAAGATCTTGCAGATCAATGATTTGGATTTGGGCAAATTATATCGTGCACCAGGGTGCACAATGCATTGTGCACCCTAAGAGTTTATGTGTATTATTTTAAGAGTTTATGTGTATTATGTTAATGGGGCGTTTGGTTCAAGTTATATAAGATAACCAAGGTCATATTTGCTTGGTAATATAAGATTCCCATGTTTGGTTCAAGTTATGTAACTTTCCCAGGGAACCACAAGTTGGAAGGGAATGTGAGATACTCTCCAATTTCTTAGGTTATGTTATGAGTTTATGTGTATTATGTTAAGAGGGCGTTTGGTTCAGGTTATATAAGATAACCAAGGTCATAAATGCTTGGTAATATAAGATTCTCATGTTTGGTTCGGGTTATGTAACTTTCCCAGGGAATGCCATATAACCTCCGCAATAAGTTGGAAGGGAATGTGAGATACTCTCCAGTTTCTTAGGTTATGTTATGAGTTTATGCAGGGTTATCAAGGCGGCGCCTAGGCGTTTGGGAGGTCACAGCCTTGCGTCTAGTCCTTTCGCCTCGCCTAAGTGCAAAATACAACCCAAAACCCCACAAAATATACATGGGCAGAACCTACACACTAAGGTGAGTTGACCGGTGTAATTTTCAGCCGGAGAAGACGCCGGAATATGCCTCACGCGCTTCACGCGCCGGCGCGTGGCGTCGGAGCAGAGGCACGGCGGCGGCGCGTAGAGGCTCCGATGGCGGCGCGGTTCGAGCTCCGGCGTCGTCCTCCTGTTCCGAGCAAAGTCCACAACCTCATCCTGACATGTTATCAATAAATACTAGACTTCTCACTCTAGGAAAAACTATTCATCTTCTCAAAGATGACTTGAAGTAAATAGGGTTCAAAAAGGCTTCCCAAGACAATATATTTCCAATATATACAATAAATACTAAACTTCTCATTATTCTAGGAATAACTATTCATCTACTAAAGGCAATTTGAAGTAAATATGCTGCCCAAGACAAGATATTTTCAATATATATGTATATATTTTATATATTTTATTTATTTAATACTCATCGTCTAGTCATCGCCTAGGCGGTCGCCTAGTCGACTAGGCAGTTGGTAGAGTCTCGCCTAGAAAGTTCGCCTTGATAACCTTGAGTTTATGTGTATTATGTTAAGGGGGCGTTTGGTTCAGGTTATATAAGATAATCAAGGTCATATTTGCTATAAGTTGGAAGGGAATGTGAGATACTCTCCAATTTCTTAGGTTATGTTATGAGTTTATGTGTATTATGTTAAGGGGACGTTTGGTTTAGGTTATATGAGATAACCAAGGTCATATTTGCTTGGTAATATAAGATTCCCATGTTTGGTTCAGGTTATATAACTTTCCGAGGGAATGTCAGATAATTTCTGCAATAAGTTTTTAGCTATTGGAAGGGAATGTGAGATACTCTCCAATTTCTTAGGTAATCTCACATTCCCTTGTCTTATTACTAATGTTGGGCTTTGGACGTTTTAATCAATTTATCTTATTACCGTTGTCTTATTTACATAACATTCTCAGGAATCTAACATTCCCTAAGGTAATTCCGTGAATCAAACGCCCTCTAAGAGTTTATGTGTATTATGGTAGGAGTTTATATGTATTCTACTATACAATTATGTACATACGAAACATGGTTTTTTAGGGTGCACGATATAACAATTGTTGGATTTGTCCATAAGTTTTCATATGGGGTGTGGTTCTCATATGATTAGGATTATATATATATATATATATATATATAATTTTTTTACTTTGAAGTCTAATATTTGTGAAATTTCAATATCCAACATCCGGATCTAACTTGTATTACAATATAACATGACTTAAAATATTCGAACCAATAATCTATATCGAGTTTGATCAAAATCTAAAACTTAGTGTAGAGTTCAATTTTTAATTTTGATAATGTGAATAATGTCTTACTTTAAACGTAAGCAAATAAGTTATGTTTATATAAGTAAATGCGAGTAGAAAAGATAGAAGATAGTGATAAGTAAAAGAAGAATATGATAATGAATGTAATTAGAGTAATAAATAAATATGTATGTAAATAATTGTTAGAATGTGGTTATAGTGATATATAGTCAAATAAATGATAGATGATTATGTTTTCTATTTAGAAAATAATTTTTAAAAGTTCTTCAGTTTTCTAAAGAATTGAAAAATGATTTTAGTTTTCAAAATGGAAAATTGTGCTAGTGAACATGTTTTTTGTTTTCTTTTTCTCCAATTCTCCAGTTTTCCAGGAAACTAGAGAAATTCACCAGTTAGTGAACGGGCTCTAAAATTTGTTACATGGTTGCAAAAGATTTGCTCTAAAAAAATCCTTGCATGGTGATGGATTTTCCATTCCTAGTTGATGTTTGGTAGGGGTGGGCACGGGTCGGGTTCGGGTTCGACCCGTGCCTATAATAGTCACCCGAAATACTTCGGGTCTTCTCTGGTAAAGCCCGAAACCGAACCGAAAATTTTCGGGTTTTTTTCAGGTTCGGGTGTTTCGGGTAGGGTTTTGGTCGGGTCGGGTGTTCCAAACCCGAACTTTTAATATTGTTCCAAAAACTTTACAAATTTTGAAATTTTAGTTCGTAAGCAAGAAAATTCCCAAAGCAAACTCAAAATTTTAAAACCAATCAAAAAGCCAAAATATGAAGAACAATAAATAAACACAATTTTAAAACCAATCTTAAAAAAAACAAAATATGCAGAAAACCAATCTACGTAGTGCTTAGCCCCAAAGGCTAGATTTGAGAGATCCGGAGCAGTACGAGTCACAGTCCAAAGGACAGGCAGAGAGGGTGTGAAAGGTGAGAGGCGGAGTCTTAGGCTCTGAGCGGCGGAGATCGGAAAAGGCGAGAGACGGAGAGAGTGAGGGATGAGATACTGAGATGAGTGAAATCTAACTGAGGGGCAGAGGGAAGTGAAGTCTCGAGAGAGAAAGAAAAGATAGAGGGGAAGTAGAGAGAGAGAGAGAGAAGACTGAGGAAGTGAGGAGGCGGAGCGATGAACATGGTTTGTATTCTGAAACCCTAGGTCTATTATTATTTATATATACTATATATTTCGGGTTTCGGGTCGAATCCGAACTCAAAATGACAAATCCGAGATCCGAACCGAATAAATAAATATCAGTGAAGGCTTGCTCGGGCCAGACCCGAACCGGGTCGAATCCGACCCGGGATGCCCTTTTTCGGGTCAAACCCGCGGAAATTCGGGTTTTACCCGAAATGTGCCCACCCCTAATGTTTGGTTCATGGAATAAGTCAAGAATAGAATAACATTTATGAGAATAGACCTAATTCATAGTTTGGATCCATTTTGAAGGGGCCTTGTGTTAACTTTTATGTAGTTCTTAGATAATGGTGGGTGGGTGAGTTACCATATACTCACTCACTCAACCCACCCACCATTACCCATCCTTGCCACCACCTACCTATTTCACCACTACATATATCTTCTCTTATATTTTCACATCACCACAATTACTCCTACTACCCATCTACTCACCACTACAAATCTACAATTATGTTCATCATTATCTTCTCTTAGTTGACCCACCATTATCTATTAATTAATTCTATTCTACATCTATGTATCTTAACATTTGGTACCCTATGTTTGTTTTGCCAAACTTTACTAGGGTGTGTTAGGAAACCCGGAAAATGAGTCATTTTTCAGAAAACATTTTTCTTTCCGGTGTTTGGTTGCATTTTAAAAAATTGTCTTGGTGTGTTTAGATCATTTCTTAGAAAATGAGCAAAATTGTATTAACAAAATCAATATTATTATAAAAAAAAAAAAAAGAGCAATGGTTTCATTTAAAAAAAAAAGGTTTCCGAAGCGTAAACCCAGATCAAAAAAACTTTTGGTTTCCAACGAAAACTAGTGAATGGTTTTCGTTGGGAAACCAGTTAATTTGGTTTCCATCTGGTTCCCGACGGAAACCAATGAAGAATATGGAGAACAGGAAAAAAGTTGCTTTGGGTTTTCCGGAAAATGACTTCTCCCCAAAGAAAGGGGAAGTCATTTTTCGAAAAAATGGGCTTGTTTTCCCTTTGACCGGAAATCAATTTTCATTGACTATCATTTTCCCCCCCTTGCCAAACACTAGAAACCCGGAAAATTTCTGGGTTTCCAAACACAGCCTATATAAATTCATAAACCCCCAAATTTTAAAAATGGGATCTAGTTCCTTGAACTTTTGAATAGTTAGGAAAATGCTTATTATTTTTACAATTAAATTAGTGCCTGAACTTTATTACCTAATGGTTGTTTTTGGGATTATAGTCTTCCAAATATATGATTGACATCTTTAAGTTGTGACTTAACTGGGGATCATAATTTGTGATTTTGTGCAAGCTTACCTTTGGCAGTATATATTTGATGACTTCATGGTTAACATTGTAGGTGTTTTTTTTTTTTTCGTAGGTTGTGAGTACAAGTGCAAAATCCATACATAATTGCAATGTTTGTATGAGTCCTTGATTCTGGTTTGACGCAGATCAGATATAGATTATTGCTACCATTATGGACTTTCATCTACCTTTTAAAGTTGGTCAATCTACAGAAGCAAAATCTTTCTTGTCGGGATATCGTTGTGCATGGTTTCGGTGCAAGGTAAGGGTTGCAAAGTGTCAAACATTTTATGTGACAACAAGCTTAATATATTTTAACTTCAATGTTAGGAATTATTTGTGTCTCAAATGTAGAATCAGTAACTTAAAGCCTGACAAAATTTGAAAAGTGATCATGGAAAGATTTATATTCTGTCATAGTTCCCACCAATTATTATTATTATTATTATTATTATTATTATTATTATTATTATTATTATTATTATTATTATTATTATTATTATTATGCTTTCAAAAATTATTATTATTATTATTAATTATTAATTTAATTTAATTCTTGTCCCATGCGCTTGAAAAAAATCCTTTTATGATGATTTGATTTTGTACTTTGGAGTTTCATGAAGTACAATTATTAGGAATACATGTTTGATATGTATCTATATGATATAAAAATGGATTTGTGTCCTTCTGTTCAGTTTGGATTTTAAGTTTCTGTTGTCAATTTTCAGTTGTAACTCTTTTACATGATCTGTCTAAGGTTTTGAGGTTCTTGTCTTTCTTCTTGTTTTGAAAAACTCCACAAATTCACAGGTTAAACGAGTAATAAAGAGATTAGTCTTTATTGATTGAAATTAGAGAAAATAACAAGAAAATTTGTAGATCTGCCTCTTAGCTTTCCAAGGACGCGTAAATTGCATTTTTGGACTTGCAGGCTGTGAATTATGTTCAAAATACTCAGCAAATGACATTTTGAGAATCTGAGTTTTCTCTAACGGACTTCTTTCTTGGTGGTCATTTTCACTACGTTTCCTTGAGAATTGGGCTGAGTTTCTTCATGTAAAGTTGTATGCTGTTAAACAACTTTTTCAATGCCACTTGAATCATCTCAATTGTATCTTTCTACATTGAGATATGCTTGATTGCTTGAAATATTGAGTGGTTTGGAACTTGAAAAGTTTTGCACTTTTTCTTACCTTCCCAATCAATTACCCACAATTTCAAAATCAAACAAAATACCCATTCTCAACCCATTATTAAATCATACAAAAGCCTCTAGTAAACACACACATTTGTTGAGGACTAATATAAGCATAAATACAAGGATGCAACACTTCTCTAGGATCTGGCTTTTTTTGTTTTTGTTGCATTGATGACTAAAATAAGCATAATATAAGGACTCAACAGTTCTCTAGGATCTTGCTTGGTTATTTCTGTTGCATTTATTTATTTATTATTTTGTCTCAGATAAAGGAGATAAAGAAGAAGGGTGGATATTGGCATGCCATGCTGGAGTATTTTGATTTTCCAGATGAAAGTAAGTTAAAATTTCAAACTAGTTCACACTCATAAGTAAATGGAATCTTCCTCACACACACATTTTTTTTTTTTATAATTTTTTTTAATCAATGAAACATTCTTTCTACATAGAATATGTTGCGAGAGATCACAGGCATGAAAATATTGATTCTTTCAAGTTGTACTGGGAATTCTGAAATCTTTCTGGTTTTAAACTTTCAAGAACCTCTCAGGGACAAAAACTTTGTAACTGTGCATATATGGAGACCATCATAATATTTATCTTCTTTTATAAATTTTGTTTGGCAGAGTTAACATGGATGAAACTGTCACAAAAGCAGTTACATCGTGTTGGAAAGTCAAAGGGAACTCAAAGGCAACTGATGTTGCGGCCTTGCTATCCACCAATTTGCAATGAAAGTGAAATATCTAATGTGAATTTAGTGCCAGAAGTGAGGGTAATTGTCCGTGGCATATGGCAGGTGGGAGATTTGGTGGATTGGTGGACTAGTGACTGTTTCTGGTCTGGAAAACTGACTGAAATACTTGACAATGATAAAGCCATGGTAATTTCATTTATCTAGTTTATGCATTTTGTGTTGTATATTAAGCTGGCAAATGCAAGCATTTGGTTCTATCAATGCATCATGTTAGTCTGCTTAAAACAGTAAAAGTGGTGGAGTAACGTGGCCGCCAGATGTTAATTAACAGCACATCTGATGACATGGTCTTTTTTATCTTCTAGATTGAGCTGACTCCACCTCCCATTGGCGAAGGTGGATCTTATGAAGTGTGTATCAAAGATTTACGCCCAACTTTAGATTGGTCTCAAGAACTTGGTTGGACTCTTCCTACTTCCCTGGTTAGTTCTCATTCACTTCATATTTAAGGAAAGGAAAACCTGTTCTTGATGCTTTTTCTTTCTCTCTTGGCACTGTGCATGTCTATTCATATGATTGTGATATTTCATTGCACCTAGATGCCATGTCTCCCTTCTTCGAAATGGTTATTGATATCCAGCTAATAAAAATTTCTGTTTTATGATCCTTATAGGATGGTGAGAATGGTCATTCATGTGCTCGGATTATCCAACCTGTCAGTGGAGGTATGATTTGAGTAAAAACAAATCACTTCGGGTCCGTTTGGAAACTTGGAAAATGACTTTCGGAAGTCATTTTTTGGATTTTCCAATGTTTGGGTACTCAAGTAAAATGCAGTCAACTTTCAAAAAAAAAAAAAAAAAGTAAAATGCAGTCAAAGAAAAATATTCATTCTGGTCAACAGAAAAAATGTCTAATTTGGTGAAAAATGTCTTCCTAGCTTTTTAGTCGGAAGACATTTTTCGAATTCCTTATTTTCCATTTCTCTTCCCCCTTTTTTTTTTTTTTGTTTTTTTTTTTTCGTATTATTATTATTACCACTACCACAACCACATCATCACCACTACCACCACCATTGCCACACCACCACCAGTACCACTAACACCAACACCACAATCAATACCACACTACCACCAACACCAACACCACCATCTCTACCACTACCACGACACCACCACACCACCACCAACACCACCAACACCATCATCTCTACCACTACCACCACACCACCACCATCACCACATATTATTATTATTATTAGAAAAAATTGTAATTTATGCTCCTCACAAATATGTCAATTATCAATGTCACCCCTGAATTATTAATGGTATAAATGTTGCCTCTCAATTTTCAAAACGTGACATATATTGTCCCTTCCCTAATAAGGACGAAGGAGAAACATTGTTGTCAGCGGAAGGAGAACAAACGAAGAAAGAAAAATGGAGGAAAAAAATGTGGTCTTCGAACCGGGAAAACAACCGGTAACCACATTTACACCACTAATAATTCAGGGGAGTAGCAATATATGTCACGTTTTGAAAATTGAGGGACAACATTTACACCACTAATAATTCAGGGGTGGAGCAATATATGTTACTTTTTTAAAATTAAGCGACAACATTTACACCACTAATAATTCAATGGTGACATTAATAATTGGCATATTTGTGAGTGGCATAAATTATAATTTTTTCCTTATTATTATTATTATAACAAATAATATGTTCATTTTCAGGAAAATGAATCAAACAAAAAAAATGCAATTCCAAATAGAAAAATATGATTTTGCCAAACACCAAAAAATTAAAATATTTTTTCGGAAAAATGAGTCATTTTCTGGAAATCATTTTCCAGAAAACATATTCCAAGTTTCCAAACGGACCCTTAATTTAGTTGTTTGATCAAAGCAAAATTGCAAATACTTGTGTGGTATGAGGAAATGAAAGCATGGTTAGAGGCATAATGGCATATAAAGGATGCCGCAAGAACAATAACGAAACAAATAGTTCACTTCTGCAAGTACTATTGATTATATACCAATTGCATATCCTAATTCTATATAGTTCAAGCAGAGTGATACAAACAGTTCATTTCTGTCAATTGCTGTTTTGCTATTACCAGATGCTTAACAACTGCCTTGCTTTGTTTCCGATTTTCTAAATGATTCTCTTGAGGTATTTTGTGATTGAAGTTGAAATTTTTATAGATCTTGGTGCCACACTTGATGAACACACAATGCATGGATCAGAAAGAGAGGTGAGAAGCACATCAGTGTCGAATACACCTGTGGTTTTTGAGGATTCTGGTAACAGGGAAAGTAGTGTTTCTGTTTCTGTTTGTGATTCTGGTATGGATGCTGCTACTGAAGTTGCTGGACTAGCTGCTGAAGACCTGTATTACATTGAGTGCCCGTTGAATAGGCTCAGAACTAGTGGAGGGACCTTGCTAAATTCCTCCCGGTCTGACACACTGGAAGCTGCTATTATGGATTTGGAGGAAATGAGAAACAAGGTTAGGTGGATTAGGCGAATTTTGGAATCTGGAAATCCTCTACCAAATTCTCAGTCCTCGTGGAAGTTTGTGGAACACCGGGCATCATCTACTCCGAAATGACAGTTTCTGAAAACTTTCAACTTTTTCTTATGTATGGCCCTTAAGAATCACAGCCATTGTTATATTTGTAATGTCATGACATTGCATTTACAACCAATGCAAGTTTTGCTATTTGTAATGCCATGACATTGCATTTAGAAACCAATGAAAGTTGTGCTATTTTGTTCAGGGCACCACTGCCATTTTTGTGTATCCATCCAAGGGAATATTGGGATTTTCGACATGTACAGGTACGCATTTCATATCCCTATCTAAATGCTTCCCTTCATTGTTTCCGGTTAAGCTTTTGTGGTCTGAAACTAAATCCTCTTTGTGCAGTAAGGCAACTAATCACATTGGAGGAGATTCTATTTGCTCACAACAGTTGGCGAGAAAACGCTACTCGAATGCTTGCTGACAGCGAGGATTACTGAGTCGATACTATGCTCGTCAGCCTTGTATTGGTTCCAAATTAGCCTCATAAACCTTGAGGTAAATTTCTTATATTTTTTTGTATATTGTAATGACAAATTGACACTTGATCACAGTGAATCTTAGATTGTAATTCAAGGTAGATGAAGTGCTTTAATGTACTCTCTGTTAGAACTTAGAAGCGTGAGTTTTTTTTTTTTTTTTTTTTTTTTTTTTTTTTTTTTTTTTTTTGGAATGATATTGACTCTATTACATTTCTAGTATTTGGTCAACGCCTCCACTGAGGCGCGATCTCATGACCTCCCACATGGGAGATATCATTACATACCATCTGAGCACAATGTGCTTGGCAGAAGCGTGAGTTTTTAATGCTGGAGTTGCGGTGTTTAATTCTTGATTGAATGTCTGTTTGCACGAGTACACTAGGTAAATTTCGCTCTTATTTAGTACTAATAATTAGTAATAGATTAATTCCGCTCTTATTTAGTACTAATAATAATTAGTAATTCACGAACCACACAGGAGAGTTAACTGCACTAGAAAGATCATGTGCGATGGGTTTCACCGAGAGTGTGTTGACAAGAATTGAACTCGTGATCTTTAGGTACGAGAGTTATGTTACATCCACTTGAACACCTTTTCAGGACTTTTCTATTTAACTATAGACTTGTATGGTTAGATGTAACTGTCATAATAGCATGTTTTGTTGACTATCTGCTACGCAATTGCGTTTTTGGAGATAAGAACAACTCTAAACTAATATAAAATTACTTAATTAGAGGATTACATGAATCGTTATTATTAAATGATGATACCGACAATATCATCCCCAAAGTGATAGTTTGTTTGTTTGTTTTTTTTAATAGAGTAAATAATATGCAATTTTAGTTGCTCAACTTATTCCATCCTACACTCCAAGGTAGAAAATGCTAACTGGACAATCATGAATGTGTTAAAAAAAATAAATTAAAGAGGATATAAATTTATTAAATATAAAATTGATTAGAACACAATAGTTTAACCCACCATTTCATCATGTAATATTCATCATCAATTCCTATTATGCATTTATGCAAGAATTTTGCATCATTAATTCTTTCTACAAAGTTGAATCAACTTATCAACTGCTTCATCAATCATCTTCTCACCACTCAATCTCATCTTCACACTCAATTCTCTAGCCTTTTTCTTCATTTCCTCCCCACTTTTCTCCATAGCCACTTTTCTTAGAGCTTTAGCTATCTCCTCCCTCTTTATCTCCCCATTCTCCCCCTTCATCGCCTCCACTCCCACGCCAATCTCCTCCACCAGCCTAGCATTCCCAGGCTGATCAAGATGCAATGGCAGGGCTATGATGGGAACCCCAAATGCCAAGCTCTCGAAAACACTGTTCCATCCGCAATGACTCAAGAACCCGCAGATTTTCTTGTCTGCCAAAATCTTGGCCTGGGGAACCCATCCTTTCACCACTATCCCTCTTCCTTTGACCCTTTCGAGGTAGCCTTCTGGGACGGCTTCCTCCACGGCCGGGGTGGCCACCCCGGCTGGGAACTTCACGACCCATATGAAGTTTACCCCGCTTATCTCTAAGCCAAAAGCTATCTCCTCCATTTCTGCCCTCGACATGGAGTATTCACTCCCGAACGAGGCCAGTACACACGAGGACTCGGGTTTGTCTTGTAACCATTGCGTTATCCCCGCGTGGTCTTCCTCGTCGGAGGTCTGCCGGATAAGAGGGCCGATTGCCATGACTTCTTTCTTGGTCAGATGGGAGAGATAGTCAACGTACTTGCCCTCCATCTCTCTGCAACTATTGATGAAGATGATTTTGTGGGATTGTTGAATGGATTTGAATCCTAAGCCTCCCAAGTCTCCCAAGTCTATCCCTGCTGGTTTTTTCGCCATGAACTTTCTTATCTCGTGGTCGTGGTAATAAATCTCCGGGAACGGGAACTTAGACCCGCGGACGCCGTCTACACGGCTGTGCGCCAAGCTAGATATGGCCACCGCGCCGGTGGTGGCGAGATGGACGGCGGGGATGTTAAGGGAAGAAGCCTGAGAAGCCGCCCAGGGCTGGAACGCATCGTAGATGAGCAAGTCGGGATCTATGGCGGAAATGATGTCGTAGAACGTTGACTCCGTCTTCTGGAACGCTTCTTGGAGGGCGCCGGCGAGATGCGGCGGCAGGGCGGTGGTGGTGTGGTGGTGGGGCGGGAGCTCCGGCGTGGAGGGCAGGCGGAGCTCCACCAGATGGATGGAGGGGGAGAGATTGGGGTGGTGTTTGGCTATGACTTTTCCGATGGATTCAAGAATGGTCGGAGAAGAACAGAAGTGGACGGTGAAGTTTCTTGAAGATAGTATCTTTGCAAGCTCCAAAAATGGCGTGAAATGGCCTTGTGCTATCCATGGGAACATCAAAACATTACATCTACTAGGTTTCTCTTTCCCCATGGATCAAACCTTAAACTCTCTCTCTCTCTCTCTAAAAATTTCTCTCTTCACAATGGTCCACAATAGTCTTGATTATTACAACCAAATATAATAACAATAACAACAATAATTGTTGAAGTATATAGACAAGCAAGCAACACAAGTGCAGAAGAAAATTGCAAAGGCATAAATATTCTTCTGCACTTGTGTTGCTTGCTTGTCTATATACTTCAACAATAATAAATATTCTTCCCAACAACAATAATAATTACCCGTAAAATTATGAGACGGCGTAAATCTCTTTCAATTTAACTAAATATGGAGTTTGAACTTTGAAAACACAGCTATATTTTTTTTTTTAGTAGGAAAAATACAACTATTTTAGAACTCATTAAAGAGTACTTTGTCATCTTTTGAAGTACTAATATACCTGACTAAGGAAACCTATGGTCTATTCAAATTAAAAATAATAATAAATCTATCATCAATTAAAACTAGCATAAAAACTATAAAAATGCTATTAAAAATGTTACATATAATATAAATATATACAAAGACATTGCATTGGACACTCCGTCTATTATGTGTAGTGGCCTAGTGGGTAAACAATTATACTTCGTAATTAACGAGTATGTGCCAATATGGGACAAGATATTTTTATGGTATTGATTGGTATTACTGTGGATTGTAATTAATATAATCATATATTATATCAGGCATTATTAGTAATTATTTTTAATAATAATAATACCTTATATAATTATATATTATTGTATCGGATGTCATTCAAAATTATTTCAATAATATTTGATATAATCATGTAACAATTAAGTACGATCGACATCATAGAAATATTATTATTATTATTATTATAATTATTATTATTATTATTATTATTATTATTATTATAATTATAGAAGTTGTACTCAACTAATTAAGAAGGGAATTCGCTTCAAATTGGTAGTGGTTGAGTGGGTAGAGCATAACTCTTGTACTTGAAAAATCATGACGAGTTTGATTTTTGCCAATACCATCTTAGCTGAACCTGACACACATAGTCTTCTTATTGTGATTTATTTTTATTGTGTGATTTGTGATCTATTACATATGCATATCTTAAGTAGTGATTGCATATTTCGCTTCTCCTAAAAAAGAAGAAGGAATTACAATTATAAGACACAAATTTAATCATAAAAAAACACATAAATAACCTAATTTACATCTCTTATCCTTGTTTTTTCTTCCAAAATGTCATTGTATAGGCAACAAAGTCAACTGTATTTTCTTATTGCAAGAATCCGATATGATGGGTACGGTGTGTTGGAGGAAGATTGTTTTATTAAACAAAACAATGAAGCAATAATGATATGATGAATTGAATTGTTTATTTACATCCCATCAATATATGAGGATTATTAATAATCAAATAATTATATATTAGATTAACTTAAAATAAGATCTGAACTTATTACATTTAAGTATGTGAATTGAAAAAGTATTGTGAATCTTGAATTCAAAATATATCTTAAACTTTTACTTGATTTTAGAATAATATTATCAGACCAATTAATTAAGTTATTTAACGAAAATAAATAACAAAATAAAAGGCATAAAATAACAAAAAATGGAGGAGTGAAGATAACAGGAAGTTACAACCAAATACAACTAGTCTATAGGAGCACAAATAGAATAAATAACAACTAAAGATATACTAATCACATATTGACTTAATACGAAGCACTTTTCCTACATCTGCAGGACAACTAATGTCTGTCCAATCCACTAGATGTTCACCAAGATGTTACAAGGGGTCGGGTAAGTACATAAGGCTATCAACCACTACTACTACTACAACCTTCCTAACATCCACTCAGAACTGGTACGTGCATGCCATTATAAACTTCAGGAGTTGATGCAGTTGCTGAACCAGAGGCAATGTCTAGCTGTTCCAGCGAGATTCCAACACAATGACAAAGCTGATGATAGTTGAATTCTTTTAATAAGGGTGTGTTTGGTTGGTGGGTTTTGCCCATAGGAATGGGTATGAAAGTGATTGTTGTTGTTTGGTTAATAGGTTTTTGGAACACTACTATAGGTTTCGAATACCCCATCAATGGAAAAATCCATACCCAAATACAATAAGGGTTTCATTCCCTTATTCATTCTTAACCAGTACTATTAGTAACCATTCCCATTCCACCCTACTACCAAACATGTTAAATACTTTCACCAAAACCCATTACCATTACCAAGTATTTGATACCCATTCCGATTCCGATTCCTATGTGCGAACCAAACACACCCTAATAATAATATAGAAAGCCGTGAGTGAGCAGTAGAGTGTATAGAAATAAGAAAGTCTTTTCCTTTTATAATGCTTTTTCCCTTCAGCCACTTACTCCCAAATGCATGCTGTCCATTCATTCCAAAACCATCATGACCATAATAAATCCTTTTATTCCTACTTTCCAAACCCCAACTTTATGGGCTAGACCTTTACTTACTGTGCATAAGGAGTCCCTTTACTGTGGCTGGTGAGACTTGATCTCAGATCATACTTTTCAAACTTCATCTCTATAACTAGTTGAGTGCCCATGCGGGCTAAATCCTTTTATTCCTTAATCATAGATCTAATAACCACATTCCTTGCTGACCCCATTTCATACCATATAGCCACTGATTTTTTAATCCAAGTAATGAAGAATAAACCAATATTGAAAGGAGACGGTCCAAAGGGCTTCACCTAATTAAAATACTAATTAACTTTAACAAATAAATTTAGCCAACATAATGGGTTTTAATGTGTATCAAATTTTTACATTTACAATAATCATACTTCAATTAGCAATCGTTATACCCTGCACCATGGCGCACATAACACTGTGCGTCCCGCGCCTCCCAAAACGACGTCGTTTTGAGAGGCGCGGTAGGGAGTTGACATGATTGTGTATTTGTTTATACAATTATGTGTATTTTTTTATACAGTTATGTGTGTTTGTTTATACAATTATGTGTATTTGTTTATACGATTATGTGTATTTTTTTATACAGTTATGTGAAACAACGTCGTTTTACATCAAGGCGCACAATGTAATGTGCTCCTGGTGCACGATATAAATTGCCACTTTGTTACTCGTGAAAAATAATTATCTTGCAACAATATAATTATTAGAATTATATTATTGCTCAAAAAACACGGTAAATATAAGACAAGGCAAAGCATTTTAAAGTTTTAACAATGGAGGTATCTTATTATTGTAAGTATCCTAGGACGGCTCTCTCCAAAACTAATTAATTAAGCAACGATGGTGATATGATTCTAGTTCTCGGAGGATCTGTATTTTGGCCCAAATGGCAGGAAATGATAACTCAAACATTTAACTATTTGAGCCAATTTATATCATGGACCAAGTCCATATAACATTATGAACCTGGATTGAAAACACAAGACATAGAGACAATCGTTTGTAAAGAAAATGTAATAAGCGAACCACTTCGGCACTTCGAACTATTCCCAAGTGAGAACTACACAGAAAATGTAATAAGACATAGACAATCGTTTGTAATCTTTATTGAATCCTAATTATATGATAATCACTTTCCCGGTGAAAATTTGTGGACAAATCCAAACCATTGATCTGCAAAATCTGATGGATGAGAAATCAAGTAAAAAATGAGCGATGTTATTTTCATAAATATTACAAAGTTTTGTTTATTTTCAACCATTAGATCTACTAGATCAATGGTTTAGATTTGTCTATATAGGTTCTCACATGGGGCATGGTTCTCACTTGATTATGGACCTATATATATATAGGTCTAGGATCATGTGCGAATGACTCCCCAGGTAATGTGCACAAATCTTAGCCATTGAATTCATCCAGATCTGTTGCTCTTTAAAAAAAAAAAAAAAAATTCCTTTCGAATGAATAAAAATTGTACTTGAAAGCTCAAAATCATGCATTTGAAGATACAAAAATGTGTACTTGAAGGCAAAAATTATACACTCGAAGGTAAATATATGTGCAAATGATGCAATTTATGGTACCAAAAAGGGAAATTATTCAACTTAAGTGTTATTAAAGCAATTACTCATACAAATCGTTTGTAAATCTCACAAATTTCATTAGAAATTTAGTTATATGTTATTGAAAAGCATGCAAAGATATAACAAACAGTGGCCCAGAATTGTGCACTTGAAGGCAAAAAAATATGCACTTGAAGACATAAAAATGTGCACTTGAAAGCAAAATATCTGTACTCGAAGGCAAAAAAAGGTTTCACAGGAATGTTAAGTATTTTTTTTACCCAATAATAAGACACGCATACATTTGTAGGCATGAAATTGAGCACTTGAAAGCATAAAAATGATCACTAGAAGGCAACGGAAAAAAAAAGACACTAAAAAAAAAATTGAAGTAAATTAATTATGTACTCTTAAAAAGGAAAACATGCAATTAAAGTTACGTTACAAAATGTGCATTAGAAGGAAAAGAAAAAAATTTGTTGTGGAATGTATATTTTTTTTTACACAATAGTATTCCCGTGATGTCTACGTTACCGGACTTTATTGATCTTCGCCAGTAATGCTGGCGTTAGATAACAAATTACTTTTTTTTTTGGGGAAAAAATTCCCATTAGATACTCCGTAATTAACATCTCTTTCTTTCTAGATCCATTTACTTTTTGAATATTTCAGCTATCAAAATTCAAAAAGCAGCCTGCAACCATATATACAAAGTACTCCGATCCGTATAAAATAATTCTTCAGCCATGCATGATAGATTCCGGTTCACAATATAATTTACTTTTAAAGTTAATACCCAAAATTGTCTTCGACTATAGTGGTTTTTCTCAATTTTGTCCTAAACGACTTTTGTGACTTAATGTAGTCCTAGAGTTTTGTGTTTTTACTCAATTTCGTCTCAGACTTTTGTGTTTTTGCTCAATTTAGTCCCTCATTTGTTATTCCGTCCATTTGTTGTTAAATAAATAGACAATTCAGTAATTCTAATATTGACATCTCTTTATTCATAAACATGTGAAGTGCGAAATCCCTTTTTTTTTTTTTACGAATTACTCCCAGAATCACTTCTAAAGTTGCGAATATAAAATTTGATTCGTAGGTCTGAGAGTAACTCTGAGTGTAATTCGTGTAAGAAAGAGAGATTTCTCACTTCGCAGGTTGAAAGTAAAGAGAGGTCAATATTGATATTATTGAATTGTCCCTTTATTTAACACCAATTTGACGGAATAACAAACGGAGGACTAAATTGAGCGAAACACAAAAGTCTGGGACTATATTAGGTCACCAAAGTCGTTTAGGACGAAATTGAGAAAAATCACTATAGTCGAGGACAATTTTGGATATTAACTCAATTAAAATTTGGGTCTATAAGTTTTGAGGCCCGTGGCTATTGCTAAGGCCAGTCCTATTGGATATAATATCATAATATATAGATAACCGGCACGTACATATTGTGTATTGTCAAAATACTTTCATGTGTTTGGTTGTTATTTTTTTTTTTTTTTCGAAAGATAGTGGGAAACACCCGAAAAAACAAGTTACATCGTGTTAACATCTTCCCCATTAAAGGAAATCTTTTCTGGGAAACTTGGCACCGATTTGATTATCCTCATGAACCATACTGCACAACCCAGGCCACTCGGGGCTTCATAAAAAATAGTCAAACCACTCCGATGCGAGAGTGCTTGTTTAGTAAGAACATCAGCTATTCTATTTTGCTCCATGTAAACGTGACAGAACTCAATATTATTGGCAAAAACTTTCATCACCTCAGGGCACCTCCGGACGACGTTGTTCAGCTGATTGTGAGGCCTTGCGTCGCCACGCTAGAGATCAATTGTACTTTTAGAATCGCACTCAACAATGATCAGGATTTGTTAAAAATAATATAAAATAATGCGTTATTAATAATTATAAAATTTTTTAGGTGCGCATGCGATAATATATATACTTCAATAGTTTGAAAGTTATTTGAAAAGTTAAAACTTTGGAAATGTATAGTGCAATAAATTATTAAAATTATGAAGAATAATAATTTGTTGTTGTTGTTGTTATTTTTTTTTAATATATTTTTTTAAAATGTTGTTAACTTTACGTTGTTATGAACGTCGTAAAAGTAAAGTTTGTCAGGAGTTGATTATGTACGTTGTTTAAATCTTTATTTATGGATTTACATTTATTGTTTTGACCTTATTTTTATATTATACTCCGTATATATATTGATATTACAAAATATAGGAAAAATATCAAATAATATCTCAAACTTTATACAAAATAATAATTACTCCTAAATTTTTAAAAATTACAATTAAACACATTAACTTATTACTTTTGTGCATCTTAACCCAATAATCAATTATCAACATGTAAAATTAGACTTTTCGTGACTATCACGGGCAAAACTTTCCTAGGTCGCATTTTTCAATAGAAGAAGAATGCCACTAATCGATTACCTTCTTCATTAAAGATTGTCACTTTTAATCTTTAGGGTTCGACTACACGTAATATCAAATTTTTTTTCCTCAATTTTACTCTTGATATTGTTGGCACTGATAAGTTTTTTTTTTTTTTTTTTTTTTTTTTTTTTTTTTTTTTTTTATGTGAGCTCCGTTACAAGGGTAAATCAAGATTGTGAGTGTGAGAGTAAAAATCGGGAATAGATAATATAAGTAAGCATAATATTTTCCTTCTAGAAATTAACTAGTTCCTTTGATAGAAAAATCCAAACATCACCCTATCTATTTAAAGAGAATATTTGCTCTTCTTCTTCCTCTAAGTTCTTAAGAGCCAAAGAAGAAAGTAAAACTGAAATGGCCATGGCCGCCCCCGCCGCCCCTCCCCTCCTCCATACCTGCACAGTTCAACAACCTCGAGCTATACTCAGTAGAATCCACGCATGTTTCCACTTCGCCGCCATTCTCGCTTTGCTCTACTACAGATTCTCAACCTTCTCCCACGGCGGCGTGCCGCGGCTTTCATGGACGCTCGTCACCTTCTCGGAGCTCATCTTCACCTCAGTATGGGTTTTCACGCAGGCGTTCCGGTGGCGGCCGGTGGCGCGGTCCGTGAGGCCGGAGAATCTGCCGGCCCGGAGCGAGGAGTTGCCCGGGGTGGACGTGTTCATATGCACGGCGGACCCGAGTAAGGAGCCGGTGGTGGAGGTGATGAACACGGTGTTGTCCGCCTTGGCCCTCGACTACCCGCCGGAGAAGCTGGCGGTTTACCTGTCGGACGACGGCGGCGCCCCCGCCACGTTGTACGCTATGAAGGAAGCCTGTGGGTTTGCTAGACATTGGCTGCCGTTTTTCCGGCGGTACGCGATCAAGACGATGTCCCCCGAGGCTTATTTCTCCTCTCTCGGCGACGAGGAACGATTTCTCCGGCTGGGTGATGATGAATTCATGGCAGAGGAATTGAAAATCAAGGTTAGTGTAAACTCATTTAATCTTTCTTTAATACTTTTTATAAAGTAAAAAATTAAATAACACTTCTAATCACAAAATTACAAGAAAATAGCAGTTTTTGTCCATCAATTATATACAAAGTGGATTTTGTTGTTCTGATTGAGTTCCATTAGAGCTATTAGGGTAACAGACAACTGATATACAAAAAGTGATTAAAATTAAACTTAAGGACCGCTTATGCTTTTGCCTTAGAGACGGGTGGAGAAAGTGACCAAATTCATCCTAAGATTCGAACCCTAAAACGTATTACTCGTAAAATTTATAAACTTATTTTGAGTTAGTTGATCAATTGAGCTAATATTAATCAAATTTCACATACTTTTCAAACTTCATAGGAAGAAATTAAAGAAGATTATTATTGTTATTATTATTATTGTTGTTGTTGTTGTTGTTGTTATTGTTGTTGTTGTTATTGTTGTTGGGCGGCTACTTGAAGAGTCAAGTCCAGTATCCCGCCATCGAAACATGACGCTACACGAATATAAAGAAATAAACTTGCATCTTTGTATATTACTAGTTAGCGTTTGGCATAGTAATAAGTGTTTGACCTTAACAATTATTATTATTATTTTTGAGTGATTATCGAACCCTGCAATTACTACTCGAAGGGTAAACCTTACTTCTATATAATAGTCCAAAAATTAAGCAGAAAAGAAAGATAAACTGAACTAAGAAAATCATGTGAGACAGATTGGACTTACTTTAATGGCCTCTTATTATGTTGCCCCTACTAACAGTGAGAAGAGTTTGGCAGTTTGACTATGGTTGAAAATGAATGAAAATAAATAAATTCTTTTAATTACTTCTTTTTTTTTTTTTTTTTTTTTTGCATGCATGATGGTGTTATAATAAGAAGCACCGAAGACTTCCCGACAATATAATTTAATAATATATATATATTGTTTATGTTGCTGTCTTTGCAGTCCGAATACGATGTGTTCAAGAGAAACGTGGAAAAGGCAGTAAGCGTCGATAACTCAGTCAAAAACGACCGCCCTCCTTATGTTGAAGTATGTACTGTTTAGACCACTATGTTTATATTATATATATTATGAGAATGTGACACTGACAACAAATAAAACCATAGTATATTTCATGGTAGCTAAGGTTTGATGGTGCCTAGTATTTTTCAACTCATATAATTGTCAATTTCAGGTCATTCATGATAATACCAAGAACCAAGAAGGTGAAGACGAAGAAAGCAAGATGCCTCTTCTAGTGTATGTCTCCCGTGAAAGACGACCTTTGCACCCTCACCGTTTCAAGGCCGGGGCACTAAATGCTCTTGTACGTAATCTATATGTTAAAATTTAAAAAGCTGCTTAAAACAGTCTTTTCAATTAACTTTTTGAGAAAATAAATTATACCAAACAGCTAACAACCAATTTACCAAACACCTTCTTACAATCAGCTAATGTTATCAACTAGTTATACCTTCTAATCAACCCAATCAGCTAACAGCTAACGGTCATTTACCAAACAGGGCCATAATAAAGACACATAAAGCACTAATTTTCTATAATTCTAGGCAAAAATTGAGGTATCCTCTATAAGTAATCAATAAATTATGTGTGTTTTGTTACAGCTTAGAGTTTCTGGGTTAATGAGCAATGCTCCATACATGGTGGTGTTGGATTGTGATATGTACTGCAATGATTCTTCTTCTGCAAAGCAAGCAATGTGCTTTCATCTTGATCCCAACATTTCCAGAGATCTTTCTTATGTACAGTACCCTCAAATCTTCTATAATGTCAGCAAAAACGACATATATGATGGTCAAGCTAGATCTGCTTACACGGTATGTATATAATTAATTATATATATGCTCATTCTCTTTTCGGTATATATGGATTATCATTAATTTTAATATTCCCATTTCCAATATTTTTTGCAGACTAAGTACCAAGGGATGGATGGTATACGAGGCACAATTTGTGCAGGGACTGGATATTACTTGTACAAAAAGGCCTTATTTTCTCTTCCTAATCAAGAGGGTACATGTTAATCAATCATAGAAATACCAATTTTTTTTTTGGGTAAATTTATTTTTAAAATTTTTTGATTTGCAGACGAATTCCTCCACGAGGCAGAAAAACATTTTGGTTGTTCTAGAAAGTTTATTGACTCCCTCAAACGTTTGAACGACAAAAATTATGACAAAAGGGACATTATTCTTGCTGATTCAACTATAGAAGAAGCCAAAACTGTTGCTTCTTGCACCTATGAAGAAAACACAGCATGGGGTAGTCAGGTAACTATATTTATAGATTTTTTACGGTGTTGGTTGATACTAATATCGATTGTTCTGGGTACAATTATGCATGTATTGTTACTATAGTTATTAGTTAATAAGTAGCTTTGAAGGGACAGTCACAGCTAAGTTGGTCAAAGACAGTTACTTTGGAACCATAAAGTTATAAGTTCGATCGACTCACCGATCAGCTATAGGCAACACAGTTGATCGATTTACCATTTTCTGATTAAACGGGCTTCACCCAAAGTGCACTTTTGAGTAGTAGTTGCAAACTTTCTCGTAAATCAAAGTTGTTGCTTTGATGGCAGATTGGGTACTCTTATGAATGTCTCTTGGAGAGCTCATTCACATCCTATCTTCTGCACTGCAAGGGGTGGAGATCAGTCTATCTTTACCCTAAACGGCCATGCTTTCTAGGGTGCACCACCATTGATATGAAGGATGCTTTGGTTCAGCTTATGAAATGGGCTTCTGGATTAGTTCAAGTTGGTTTCTCCAAGTACAGTCCTCTTGTGTATGGCATCTCCAATAATATGCCTATTCTTCAAGTCCTATGCTATGGTTACTTCATGCTTTCTCATCTTCTCTCCATTCCCACCCTATTGTATGGCATAGTTCCACAGCTTTGCTTTCTCACAGGCACTCCCTTATTTCCAAAGGTATGTATAATATAATAATAATGACTTAAAAGTAGGATACTCAGACCAGTGGGCTCTGATACCATGTTAACTTGCTTGTGTACTTGATCAGGTATCGAGTGTATGGTTTGCTCCTTTTGCAATTGTGTTCGTGTCATCCCTTCTCCAACACGTGCATGAGGTCTTCTCGACTGGGGGCTCCATCAAGACATTGTGGAATGAGCAGAGGATTTGGCTGATAAGGAGTGTGACAGCATGCCTATTCGGGTGCTTAGACGCCCTGCTAAAGCAGGTGGGAGTAGCTAAAGCGAATTTCAGGCTGACAAACAAAGCCATCGATAAAGACAAGTTAAGGAAGTACGAGATGGGGAAGTTTGATTTCCAAGGAGCCAAAATGTTCATGGTCCCTTTAACATTCTTGGTGGTACTAAACCTTGTGAGTTTTGTGTTTGGAATGAAGAGGATGATTGGTGAAGGGAATTATGGGGAGATGTTTGGGCAATGCTTCCTTTCTAGCTATGGTTTGGCTCTTAGTTTGCCCATTCTTGAAGGTTTGATAAAGAAAGACAAACAAAAGTAACTTTTTTATTTTTATTTTTTCAAAGTATTGTATGTCCCATACCCTAAATAATGAAAATCATCATATGTTAGTTGAAGAGATAATAACAAAATTGTATTGTTAGAGACAATAAACCTAGTTTTTGTTCAAGTTTTAGCTCTTAGATACCTCAATCTAGAGGTCTTAGAGTTGTGGGCCTATGGATAATGTTTAAAATTAAAGATGTTGGGCTGCAGAAGCAGTTCTATATCTAGGCCCGACTACCCAATATCTCAAGATGTTTAAAAGTGTACCATTAAGTTCTTTTTGTACTTGACCTCACCCATATACCATTGTTATACCATGGACTATTGCAAGGTGAACTCGTGTCTAAAATATAAAATTTTTATACTAAATGTTTACAATTTACCTTTTACAAAATTGTGAAAATTCCGTATATAAATTGTGAATATTCAGTATATAAATTGTGTATTTTGGACTTTAATTCACCTTACAAGGTGGACCTGAGTCCACAGAATAATTTGCCACCCACATATATCAATATATGTGTGTATATATAATATTATATTATAAGAGATTTGCACTTTACGTCTCTCAATTATTATAATATTATTACTTTTGTCCTTCAATTGTTTGCAAAGTGATTTTTTCATCCTTCAATTACATGTGAAGTGATTTTTAACTCAACCCTAAAGAAACTCATAGGTGAAAAATTCAAACTACTTTGCAAACAATTGAAGGATGAAAAGTAGTGACGAATATAATTGAAGAACAAAAACTGTCATTTTTTAAGTATTATATTATATAAGGAAAATCTAAAATGGCAATTGACATTAGTATTGATTGTACACGATACTATCATATCTTTCATATATAATTGTATCGGATATGGTTGAAAATTATCATATAATTAAAGAATACTCTGTTTTAACACTTGTTATCTCCCATTAACATATCACTATATGAGACACAACATTAGGTATCTTTTGTGGCATTGGGCACTCACAAACTATGAGGTAGCTGAAAACAAAGAGCAGGCTAGCTAGTAAGTTGCAATAAATTAAAATAAGGTTCACTACATAGAAAGAAACAAAGAAGTATCAGAAATCAAGAGACAAGCTTTTTGATAGTTCCCAAGTATGTTACCAATATCTCTCTAACTTCTCTTCAGTCCATCTCCAACAGTGAAAAGGAGTAAAGAAGAAAAAGGAGACATATATTCTTAGCTAGGACAAGCCACCCTACCATTCAAAACTTGTATCCAGTAAATTTCTAGAATTTCTGTGTTATGTACTTTGTTCAATTACCTACTCTTTGTTGTGAAACAATGATTTTGTTCTCCCCATTCTTCAATTATAATCTTTCATACAATATTTATGATCCAATATGATATACAAGTCCTAATATAACACATATTTTATTTTATCACTTTAATTTTAATTTTTAAGTAAAATTAATTCGCCAATCATGCCGAGTTTGAATCTTTAAAGCACACAAAGGACTCTCAATCACACCCGTCGTTCGCTCTGGGAGGTATGAGAGCTGGCCCAAAGGGAACTGTCATTTGTGAGGATCAAACCCGAATTATCCCAGAATTCTCCCCTCACAAAGAGAGCTCATTTGTCACTTGAACTACTACCATGTTGGGTTGCATACCTAATTGTTTAATTCTTGATAAGATTCGAACTCTGCACCTTATTAGTAGCTAGCAATAAACTTTTAATTTTTGGTTGTTGAGAGAAGTAGAACGGGTTTTCAAAAAAAAAGAGAAGTAGAAAGGAGGGTAGGAACAAATAGACAATATTAAACATAGCTTTCCACAACATCATATTTGTCATACATAAACACAGCAACCATTCATTATGATTTATTACAGAGGGAGAGATGAGATCAGAATGCAGTTAATAAGGCGTGAATATACATTTTGTATACTGTGGGTGATCTCTGCAATTCCGGCTTAAATTTGTAAACTTTATTAGAAGCAGACATTATTAATAATCATGGAATGGAAGCTAGGCAGCAGTAGTGTTGTGTACATGTAATTGGCCAACAGTTGTCTCTCAGATTTCACTAAATCTTGGAGCTAAACATGGTATGATCTTTTGTTTGTTTGGGTGGTTCTGTCGAAAACTTCTTTTCTACTTAGGAAGAATAATGGAAACCAAATCTTGTGTTGGGTTTCACTGGGATTTCGTTTCTGGGTTTTGAAATCTAAGCCGACCTGACCAACCACTCATTACCCATCATTACATTAGCATGCAAAAGCACTGAACCATTCAACACTTTTAACTAAAAGCTAATCATGCAACAACCCAAAAGTTCGTTGCTAACAATTACCAATTCAAGTGGGCTAGTTGCTAATGTCTAATTGTAAGGTTGGAGAATGGAGGGTATTATAGTCAAGTTGGTCGTACAGTTGGTTTAGGTTCAAAGTTCGACTCTTCATTGGAACTGTCTATTGATTTTCTTGGTTTGAATAATGGGTCAGCTAGGACCAACCTAAACTGGTTTATCTCATTGTGACCCTTCTAGGATCACAAGGTAGATTTCATCCCGACCATACTTGAACAGGATCTGTTCTATAGGCTCGTACCTCTGTATCCTTGAGTTCTAAGGAGACAGGAAACCAAGCCTGGTAGATGAACTATGGCCAAGAAGATTTCACCCAGAGTGCAGGATAGCGGTTATATATAGATTTCCTCGTAAATCAAAGGTTAGAGGGTTAGAGTCAAGCATGATATGAACTGAATTGAAATAATTAGTCTTACAGTATTCATATAAATTTTAAGTTACTGATGTATTTTAATTTACATATATATATAATACAACCATGTATGTCATTCATGTTGCATCTGGTACAATTGAAATGGATCATTACTAATAATACTTGGTACAATTATGTATATATAAATTGAACTTTAATTTTAGTTGACACATTATCTTATATTGACTCTAATATAGGAAAATAGTGAAGTGATATATGCAGTCTTGAGAAGATACTTTCTGGAAATGGTCACATTTTCTTGGAAACTGACCATGACCTCAATAAAACAAAATATATACTAACATTATATGGCTAGGATGACTTTATGATGAATAAACTCTTTGACTAATGGTCACATACATGACTAAGCAGTCCACTTATCAACCCTCATTATACTCAAGATTTAGACAAGCACCTTGCTCCAAAAAAGAGTAGCTGGATGAATGAAGCATAAATATCGTATATGAGGTACAAGTTTGATTCTTATTAACACTTTCTCGATCAAACTTTGACACAAGGCCTTTCTGTGTGGTTTGTGGACTATTACACGAATAGGGTGTACTCAATGTACAAACTCTTAGATAATGGTCATGAGTTTGATTCTTATCAACACTCTCTCGGTCGAACCCGTTGCACAAAGTCATCCTATATATACAGGGTTTCCTAAGGTTATTTAATTTGGTGAATAAATTAAAGTAACCAAATTACTTTACATATGATTTTAAATATAATATGACAGATAGTAATGTTATGTAATAAAAAATTATTGCATATTTTGAGCTCGACAACGTTATGCAACATAGGATGGGTAGTTTTTCATAAATGTATGTATATTTTTACTTTTTTTTTTTTTTTTTTTTTTTTTTGTTGTGAAAGATATGTATATTTTAATAAATTAGATTAGAGAAAATAAAAATAAAGCAAAATGGGAAATCATTGGGGTGGGGGGGAAATGAAATTTGTCGTTATAAATGATGAAGGTATTGGAAATGTAAAGAAGTAAATATAATGACATAAAGACCAAACACACATCATAAAGAGCAGTGAGGAACATCCTCTGGAAATGTTTCCTAGAATTAGCAAAAGGCATAAGCTGGCAGTACAATGGTTCCAGTTTTAGTACTCCACACACCAAAAATAGGGGACACTTCCTACCAAATGCACCCCATTCACATTTTCTTCTTCTGGCTTACACATTTTTATGGCTTCTCATCTGCCTCCAATCACCTCATCCCCTATTCCCCCCTGGCCCCACCTTACACCCATCCCTACCCATTAACTACAAATATTTTAATTGTTCTTATTTTACCCAAGTTGTGTGAATTAATATATCGAAATCTTTGATTTACGAGAAATTCAGCAGTTGCTACTCAAAGGTACTTGCATTATACTCTAGGTGAAGTTCGTCTTATGACTATGGTTGCAGTAGACGCTAGGGACTAGCTAGTCGGGCGGTAGAGTAGCACCTAGCATCTAGACAAGCTAAAAATAAAGAAAAAACAGTGCACGTGTGTGGGTATATGTCATAAACTATTTTAAGTTGCTTTAACTGCTCGACTTAAACAGAGAAGGTCAATAGGTAACTTTCACGGAAAGCCAAACTTAGAGCATTGGTTATCAAGTCAATTGTTCAACCAACTGAACTGTAACTATCCCCAATGTATTGAAATCTTGTAGTATATATGTGTGGTTTTTCCTAATGTATCTATTGGCATTGGCAAAGTTACTTTTGTATTAGACACAACATGCATGATATGTTAGTTGTATCAAAATAATAAGATGCTATATATGGAGATATATACATCCCAAATAGCATATATATACAATGGATTGTGATTGGTACAAAAGTCACCATATATATATATATATATATATGATTTTTTTTCCATATCCCATGCCCTTTGGTCCATCCGGCCTACTAGAAAAATAAAAAATATGAAACATAATAGGAAATTCCGTTTAATTATACTCTAATTAAAGTGGCCCCACCAAAAAGAAAAGAAAAGAAAACTCCTAAAAGTGATCTTACAACTTCTTATTTAATGTCCTAGATCTTTAAGTGTGGGTATGGGCTATATATTTTTAAACTAGTTTTCTTGATCTCTGCTAGCTAGAGGGTCTATCTATAATCTACCCCATGAACAAAAAGGGTGGCATGGAGAGAAGCACTAATTGGAGAAGCAATGATGGAAGGAACATGAAAGACATGAACAAGCTTAGAGATTCATGGGGCCATCATCATCATCAACATCATCACACCAGCCATGAATCTCTCCCCCCTCAGAATAAAGAAAATGGGGATTTAGTTGCAGCAGGGTTTTCATGGCCTCCAAGATCCTACACTTGCAGTTTCTGTAGGAGGGAGTTCAGATCTGCCCAGGCTCTTGGTGGCCACATGAATGTTCACAGGAGAGATAGGGCAAGGCTGAGGCAATCCCCACCAAGAGAGGGTCAGTTCTCTTCCCTTCTTAATCTCAACCTTGCAGATTCTGCTGCTGCAACAAACCCTAACCCTAGCTGCTACACTTCTTCATC